ATCAGGCTTATTAATATCAGGTTATCTGAGGGCTTTATCCTCAGAAAAAAAAGCAACAGCATAGGGTTTTGAGGCTTTCTGGGGGAATAGGTTATTCTATTGTATTGGTATGAATTTCAGATATTGGCAGGATTCTAGGTTAGAGTTTTTTTCCTGATATACTTCTATCTACTAACCGGTAAATATGATAAATAGAAATGTACCGTTTCCATCCTGTTCTTAGGAAGGATTCAAGCAAGGCTTTGGCAAGGTCTTTCTCCTATTTCCATAAAGCATAATGCATTATAATTACTAATGTAATTCAGAATAAAAAAAAATAACTGAATATACATAAAATGAAGCTGATTTAGGGTGGGGGAGGGTGGAGAGTGATGTGCAAGGTTAGATTTATTTGGGGGGTGTTGTTTTGTTTTTTTTTTTTGCTCTTTCATTGGTTTATGAAACACAGAAATTACATTATTTCAGGCATAATTTCAAATTAGACAAGTTCTACTGTCTACTGTCATTGGAATTAAGCCATTAAACTTTGGAAATCGTTTTAAGCATATGTGATTATCAAGATACATTGCATGTAAATTTCTTTGACGCAGTTTGTTTAAGAAGAAATTCTATGTTATGTTAGCACAATGATTTCAGGATTTACTTGATCACAGATCTTAGAGAGGTTATAGTATTTCTCTGGTTTTATTGCTGAGTTTGAATACTTGATGGACTGTGTTAATTAAAAAAAAAAGTTATTTAGGTATAACATAGTCTCTGAGTTAGAAATACACACCTCATCTTCTGTGGAGGGAAAAGATAGTATGAAGGCTTTTAAAAGAATCACTATAGTTGGGCAAAAAATAAGTCTTTGTGCATTTTCCTTAGTGTGTCTTCATTTAAAGTGGGATTCAGCTTTGACATATGGATTTGGTTTTCTTCTTTTGCTTTTGAGAAAATGGGGTTGCAGCCAGAATATTACAACTCAGAAGATTGCTTGACATACATATGGCTTAAATAAATCTGAAACAAACCACAGTAAACTGGATGGTACAGTCACATCTACCGCAGCACAGGTGCTCTTCCTTTCCTTCTCTGAAAAGAGCCTTTTTCAGCTGCTGCTAGCCTAACTTGCCCAGATGGCTTTTTGTGTGCAAATCCACTACTTAACCCAAATATTACTATGCCGCCTTTTGCCTTGATTAAATGAGCCCTAGAGCTCTGTTTGAGGACATTTCACACTAAAAGACGGTGAAGTTACATGTGGTAGTTCAGGTCCAGAGCACTGATTTGGTAATGTATGAATGGGGAGATGCATTGGAGACCGGGTGGTTGAAGGTGCTCTGCTGGCCAGTGAACAAAATGAAGCCCACAGAGTTGTACAAAGGAAATTTTTTGAAGAGTCAATGTCTAAGGTATTCCAGAATGAAGAATTTGGAATGTACCTTTCTAGGACTGATATAATAGAGTCAAGAACAATTTAGGTGAAAGAGGGCTATAGGACAACTAGAATCTTCATAAAGGTTAACTCATCAAAACTTTTTACTAAACCGTTGTGCTTTATTAATACAAACAAATAAAACCAAAAAACCACCAAAACCCAAAAACCAACCAAAAAAAACCAGCCAACCAACTAAAAAATCTATAGGATAGCCTTGTCTTTTTCACTCCAATTGCATATAAAACAGTTTTTTAATCAATTCTGCTGTATCAGAGGTGTGCTGGATTTTGATGCAGCATATTGGGAAGTAATAGTAATAGAAAATAATTTTTTCCAATGAAAATGTCTTGGTCAGATTGCTGGCTTCATATGTGAAGCAGGTTCATGACTTTTTTTCAAAAATATATATTTGTTCATGTAAATGTAGGATGTTCTGGGGTTTAGGGCTTAAATTTTATTGAAATACTTAAAATGCCTCTTTCATTTTAGTTGTACCAAGTGCCATCATAAAGTATTCAAATGCTATCTCTTTTTGAAATGGAAGATGAAGTTCACATAGTTATCAGTGCAGGAAAACAACTACCATCAGGCTGAAAAGGAGGTTTCTTCACTGCAGAATATAAGCTCCAAAGTCAAATCAATGTAACATAATGGCCTGTAAAATTGCCTGGGTTTGTCTAAGAAACAGATTTTTGCCCCATTTCCTCAGAAGGTCACAGTGCACCCAGTGCTGCTTGTGACTTTCTTTTTTCGTGAACAATCTAGGAATTGCAGTAGAATGAGTTAAAACCGTTAAAAAAGACCACACAGCAATCCTCACTGAATCCTAGATCTGAAGTGTGAAATGTAGGTGTAATTTGTGCAAGAAAAATGTGAATGTTTATTTAAGCCCCACAGGTTTTCATAAGGAAACCTTTTTTTTACTGAGCAGATGAAAACTTGAAGCAATCAATAAATAATTACTAAAACCTTTTTCCTGATATTATAAGTAGGCATAAATTGTGTGTTGAAAGTCATATTTTTGAGAGAGGTAGAATTTTGCAGTGAAGAAATGAGTTAACTTACACTTTTGTTACATAAACAGATCCGAGTAAGTTTTGCAAACCAGCAAATGCAAAAATTTCTCTGGGGAAATGACATTTGCTAACCTAGCTTAGGCTCTACCTTTAGAGGGTCAACATTTAGAGGGATGTATTAAACAGTGCCTTGCACAGCAAGTTTGGGAACTTTTGCAGTCAAGTAGTTTACATTTCAAATGTGCTAAAATTAGCAGTGAACACTACTTCAGAGTACATGAGCTTGTGCTGCATGGAAGTGGTACTGACTGTATAGATACAGCAGTAAAAGTAGCATGCAATTAGTCAGTCTACTGTCTTTTACATGTGCATACACACAGACACACATCTGCACACATACAACCTCAGTGTATTTTTTATTGAAGACCCTTGCTCAATAGCTGTTATTTGTAAGTCCTTGCATTTGTGCTAAGATTTGCATTTAGTCAAGGAAAGAGAGATTTTGACCACTGATATTTTTAATTAGATTTATAAAAACAATTTACAGTATCTCACTCTTGTTCATCTTCCACTTTTTTAATTATAAAAAATGGTGAATGATGATACTCTAGTAACTGTCATAAAAAATGTAATGCACCATTACCCATTACCTCTTGCAGTATACATTTATTAGTATGGCAGCGGTTTACATTGTTATATACATATATCTGTATTATAAACTATTCATTGATCATGATACAAATCACTACTGCTAACCTAACTGCTTTATGCACAATTTTTTTATAGTTAAAATATATAAATCAATTAAACAGAAGTATAAATATAGGTATTTGCTGTTTATACTTACAATGGAATTTCTTTTAAAGGAAGTAGGCTGTTAAATCATGATACAGTAACAAATGCTGAAGGCTGCTTTTTCATTCTTTGCCATTCAGTTTATTGTCAGAGCTGTGCAGTCATATCCCATTTCAGGATTACTTAGGTGACTTGAAAATTAAATCATAGTTCACAGATTCTCTTTTTTTGCACACGGTCAATAATGGTAAAATTGGGTCTACTTTTAAATATATTCTGCAAGATAGTGCAGTGCAGTTATATGCAAGAACTATGAAAGATTTAGTAAATAGAATGTGATTTTCCATAAATTAACAACTAATTGGATAAAATAAATTTGCTGTCAATGTATGTAGAATTATTTACAAAAGAGTTATATTGATATAAATTCTGTTAAAGTTGGGCAGCCTGGGGTTTTAGCAAATCCTCACTTTTTTTAAGTTCATAAATCTGAAAGATTTTGAGGAGTGATTACTAATAACTGGAAATATGAGCTCATTCTCTTTAGGGAAAGAATATGTCAAAAGCATGACTGTTCATGTCTAATCAACTAAATGATTCTTGCTTATTCATTTCATCTGAGCTACGTCTCTTATTTGTATGCACTATTTTGCAATGTTTCTCCTAAAAGCTGTCTCCAAAAAGGCCTTCTAAAGATGTCTCTGAAAAGAAGGCTTTGCAAAACTTTACTTCTCCTGTTAGGATGTTAGATTGTATTTGATGTGCTTTCAGAGTGAAGCTCCTGATTTGATTTTAGAAAAATGAAATCCAGATACCCATGACAAAACTGCTTAACAAACAGGCTGAAAATCCTAGTATAGAGACAGCCTGTAGGCATCTGATTTTTTTCTAAATTTTATTCAGATGCTCAAGTGAGCCTTTTCATATAACGTCTTGTGTTCCCCTTATTGTCCATACATAGATGCATCTCTAGAGGACTCCAAAAGAAGGTCTGATTCCATAACTCTAAGACACCAAGGTAGATGGGCCCCTTTGAAGGCCTTCAGGCATATGGGAACCGTTTGTGTGGTAGATATGTTTGTCCAGGGCAGGAAATTGTCAGAAGTAAAACCTCGAAACCACATCTCCTGTTTTCTTATACTGATACCAAAAAAAATTACTGAATAAGAAGTTTAATAACATTTCTCTTTTGGAAAAGATGTTAGTTTCAGGTACTGTGGTACAGCTGTTCATGCAGGGATTTTGGGGAGGAGCATTAGATATTTGCTGCAGGATGGTTTTTAATACCTTCTTTTAAAATATATGGTGCGTCCCACTCTGAAAAAAGATTCAGAAATATATTGGTCTTAGACATTCCACAGCTTGATAGCTTTTTCTCAACAGCTTCCTACTTGTTCTTTTTGCTGGTTTTCAGTCTTCCTTGCGTGAAACTGAACGTACAATCAAACTTTTGATGTCACGGGTTTCAAATGGGTTGAAAAATGAAATCAGTCAGAAATTAAATCAGTTTGACCTTCATTGTTAAATTATGTAATGCTTCTGCTTTTAGTTTGCCATCTATATTTGTTGTTTTGTAAAATAATTGGACTATTATTGCTGCTGCTTTTTCATCAATTGCAAATCAGTTGAGGTAATAAAATAAGCTTCATTGGAAGTATTGACTAAATTGTAATTGCAGATATTATTTTCTTATATGTTCTTTTTGTGTTACACAGAAAGTAATATATATAGCAGATTTTTAGTTAATTTTAATACTTTTTTTTCCTTAGTGATCTCAGTGAAAATCAGATTCAAGCAATACCAAGGAAAGCATTCCGAGGAGCTGTAGACATAAAAAATCTGTAAGTATTTTCCTCCTTCTTGTGTATAGTCTGATGATAATGCTTGGTCAATACAGTGTCCTTTTATACTATCAGATACCTTTTCCTGTAGCACTTTCACAGCTGCTTAAGGAATCCCTGCATAAAACCAACGCTTACAATTTCTTTTGGCAAAATAATGTATCTTAAGCATCCTAAAATTTCCCTACATGAAATCTAAAACACTGAATTGGAGTTGAATACAGCCAGGCATTATAACTGTTTATGGTAACCTGAGTTTAATATTTGAAAGTCAGGCTATTTTAAATATTTAATTGTTTCATGTGGAAAAAATAATTTTGCCTTGGTTCTAAGAGTTTCCCTTTTGTTTGCTTGTATAAAAGAAAAGAAGAAAAATTATGTTATTACCTACTTTTGCTAGCATTTATTTTTGTACTTGTTGGCTACTTTTCTTACACAGTTTTCTTCTGTGGTATAATAAGCCTTTCCCAAAAGACAGATACTCACTTTCCTAGAGATAGTGACCCTTAAGTTCATGGGCAGTTTTGAATTCACCACAGATCAATTAGGAGAAAAGTTTTCAAAGATGAATGCCCAAGATTTTGGCTTACTTGATATGATATTTAGAAATCTGGGGGTTTTGTTCAACAGTGTCTGTGATTGGGTTCTTCCTCAAAGTGAAATCCTACCACAGCTCAGTGGAAAAATTAAGTTCAAAAACATGCAAGTGCTTCTCAAAGTAGCTTTGTTGCTTTGTTTAACTGATGTCTTACGATGGTCTAGTGGGGGCTGGTGGAGCTGGTCTGATGATAAAGAAGGGAAAGAGCGGTTTTGGTAGGAGGCTTGCCAGACTGGTCAAGGAGGCTTTAAACTAGATGTGTTGGGGGAGGGGGGCATCATTCCATCCCAACACACCCAGTCAGCTGCCAGCACCTATAATAAATGCTCGGAACAATGCAGATATATCCCAGCCGCTCCAGCCAATGAGCCGGCTTCAGTTGGAGCTCAGCTCAGATGCCTCTATACAAATGCCCGTAGCATGGGGAACAAACAAGAGGAATTAGAGATGTGTGCATGTCTATGGGGGTATGATATAATAGGCATCACAGAAACATGGTGGGACTGGAGTGTTGGAATGGAAGGTTACAGGCTCTTTAGAAAAGACAGGTCTGGCAGGCGGGGAGGGGGATTTGCCCTTTATGTTAGGAATAGGCTGGAGAGTATGGAACTCTGTCTGGGGACAGGTGAGCAGTTAACAGAGAGTTTGTGGGTCAGGGTTAAAGGGAATATAGCTATGGGAGACATTACTGTGGGGATCTGTTACAGACCGCCTGATCAAGCAGAACCTGCAGATGAAGCACTCTATAGACAGGTAGGAAAAGCCTCACGCTCGCAGGCCCTTGTTCTCATGGGTGACTTCAACCACCCTGGCATCTGTTGGAAGGACGGTACTGCCTGGCACAAGCAATCCAGGAGGTTCCTCAGTCGTGTGGAAGGCAACTTCCTTCTGCAAGTAATAGAGGAGCTGACAAGGAGAGGTGCCATGCTTGACCTCGTGCTCACCAAAAGGGAAGGGCTCATTGGAAATGTGACTCTCCAGGGCAGCCTTGGGTGCAGCGATCATGAGATGCTCGAATTTGAGGTCCTCAGGACAGTGAGAAGAGCGTGCAGCAAGCTCACTGCCCTGGACTTCAAAAGAGCAGGCTTTGGCCTCTTCAGGAGCCTGCTTAGTAAGGTTCCATGGGATGCAGCCCTAGAGGGCAGAGGGGCCCAAGACTGTTGGGCGATATTCAAGGATAACCTGCTACAAGCTCAGGAGTGTTGCATCCCAACCAGAAGGAAGTGCAGCAGGAGGGCCAGGAGACCTACTTGGGTGGATAAGGAGCTCCTGAGGAAAATTCAATTGAAAAAAGAGGCTTATAATAAGTGGAAGCAAGGACAGGTGGCCTTGGAAGAGTTCAGGGATGTTGTCCGGGAAGCTAGGGACCAGGTTAGGAAAGCCAAGGCCCAGTTAGAATTAAACTTAGCTAGAGGTGTTAAGGATAACAGGAAGTGATTCTACAGGTACATAGCAAATAAAAAATAGACTAGGGAGACTGTAGACCCCCTCAGGAAGCTCTCAGGAGAACTGGCTACACAGGATTTGGAGAAGGCTGAGGTTCTGAATGACTTCTTTGCCTCGGTCTTCACTGGCAAAGGCTCTGACCACACCACCCAAATCATGGAAGGCAGATGCAGGGACTGTGAGAATGAAGACCTTGGGCCCACTGTAGGAGAGGATCTGGTTCAAGACCATCTTAAAAATCTGAATGTGCACAAGTCCATGGGACCTGATGAAATCCATCCTTGGGTCCTGAAGGAGCTGGCAAATGAAGTTGCTAAGCCGCTGGCCATCATATTTGAAAAATCATGGCAGTCAGGTGAAGTTCCCGAATACTGGAAAAAAGGGAAATATAACCCCCATTTTCAAGAAAGGGAAAATGGATGACCTCGGGGGTTACAGAGCAGTCAGTCTCACCTCTGTGCCTGGCAAAATCTTGGAGCAGATTCTCCTGGAAGGCATGCTAAGGCACATGAAAAACGACAAGGTGCTTGGTGACAGCCAACATGGCTTCACTAAGGGAAATCCTGCCTGACCAATTTGGTGGCCTTCTATGATGGGGCTACGGAACTGATGGACAGGGGTAGAGCAGTTGATGTCATGTACCTGGACTTGTGCAAAGCGTTCAACACTGTCCCACACAACATCTTTGTCTCTAAATTGGAGAGACATCAGTTTGGTGGATGGACCACTCGGTGGATAAAGAACTGGCGGGATGGCCGCACACAAAGGGTTGTGGTCAATGGCTCAATGTCCGGCTGGAGACCAGTAATGAGTGGTGTCCCTCAGGGATCGGTGTTGGGACCGGTCTTGTTCAACATCTTAGTCGGTGACATGGACAGTGGGATTGAGTGCGCCCTCAGCAAGTTTGCCAATGACACCAAGCTGTGTGGGTCGGTTGATATGCTGGAGGGAAGGAATGCCATCCAGAGGGACCTCGACACGCTTCTGAGGTGGGCTGATGCCAACCTTATGAAGTTTAACCATGCCAAGTGCAAGGTCCTACACCTGGATCGGAGCAATCCCAGGCACAGCTACAGGTTGGGCAGAGAAGAGATTCAGAGCAACCCTGTGGAGAAGGACTTGGAGGTGTTGGTTGATGAGAAAATGAACATGGGCCGGCTTCAGTGTGCGCTTGCAGCCCAGAAAGCCAACCGTATCCTGGGCTGCATCAAAAGGAGCATGACCAGCAGATCGAAGGAGGTGATCCTGCCCCTCTACTCTGCTCTTGTGAGACCTCACTTGGAGTATTGAGTGCAGTTCTGGTGTCCTCAGCATAAAAAGGACATGGAACTGTTGGAACAAGTCCAGAGTAGGGCCACGAGGATGATCAGGGGACTGGAGCACCTCCCGTATGAAGACAGGCTGAGGAAGTTGGGGCTGTTCTGCCTGGGGAAGAGAAGGCTGCATGGAGACCTCATAGCAGCCTTCCAGTATCTGAAGGGGGCCTGTAGGGATGCTGGAGAGGGACTCTTCATTAGGGACTGTAGTGATAGGACAAGGGGTAACAGGTTAAAACTTAAACAGGGGAAGTTTAGATTGGATATAAGAAGGAAATTCTTTCCTGTTAGGGTGGTGAGGCACTGGAATAGGTAGCCCAGGGAGGTTGTGAATGCTCCATCCCTGGCAGTGCTCAAGATCAGGTTGGACGAGGCCTTGGGTGATACGATTTAGCATAAGGTGTCCCTGCCCACGGCAGGGGGGTTGGGACTAGATGATCTTAAGGTCCTTTCCTACCCTAACTATTCTATGATTTTGTTCTATTCAGAACTGGTTCCATCATTATTCATGGCCTAAAAGAGGCTTGGCTACAAGGAGAAGTCTGCAATTTTTTTCCATGATCTTCCGCATTTAAAAATTGATACAGCTACAGAAAGGAACTTTGTACTAAAAATAGCAGCGTCATTGAGGATATTCTAGTGACAGGGCAGTGGTTTAGAATGCAATAAAGGTACTAATATATTTTCAGATAGCTCCATTCAAAAACTGAATTAGGATGCTAATCTTTAGCTAAGATAATATTTATCTCTTGGTGTGTTTTTTCAAGGTAAGGATCCTGAATTATGTCTGAAACTTGCATTAAACAGTAGATCCACCCTTTAAAGACTTTGAGGATATAATTAAAAAAAAAATCATAAAGACAATAGCATTGCTACAAGTCCAAATCATATATGTAGCATATAGTTTATTGTGATAGAAGTACTACATGTATCTCCTTCTTGGTTGTCCCAGAGATAAAACCAGGGAAAAAACCCTGGAAAACCCCTGATCTCAAATCATTACAGTCCCACTACAGTTGTGAGTCTAAGAAATATATTTCTCTGTCCTATAAATCCTACCTATGTTCTAATAAGGAAGAGCATCTTATATTATTGTGAGATATAGATGTAAGTATCATACTGATTTGCGGGGTGAGTTGAGTGGATTCTAGTACAGCATTTATGTAACTAGATCAGGCTGTTGTGACTTTCCAGAAGTTTAGGCAAGAAGGTGATCTGAACCCTAGCCTTCCATCTAGCCTTGGACATTACTTAGAGAAGAATGATGGCAAGAATTGTTGGAGAAAATTAAGGAGGCAGTTGATAAGTGATAGGTATAGAAAACATCGCTTTGCAAAGGAAAATATGAAGTGAACCACCTGAAAGGAGTTCATAGCAAGTATCATTCTCTTTTCCAAGTAACAAATAATAGGATGAGAGGAAACAGCTCCAAGTTGTGCCAGAAGAGATTTAGACTGGATTTCAGGAAAAAAATTCTTTACTAAATAGGTTTGTCAAGTGCTGGAACAGGCTGCGCAGGGTAGTGGTTGAGTCACTATCCCTGGAAGTATTTAAAAGGTGTGTAGATGTGGCAGGCACTTCAGAACATGGTTTAATGATGGACCTGCCAGTGCTAGGTTTATGGATGTACTTAATGGTTT